AACTATCCCTTCCTTAATTAGACCATCCATGACCTTCTGTATCTCTTGCCGCTTTGCTGGAGCTATTCTCCTTAGAGGAATCTTTATTGGACGGTGATTGCCTGTATTTATTCTGTGCTCTACCAGGTTTGTGCATCCGAGGTCATGATCTCATTTCGAAAAGACGTCAGCATAATTTGCCAAAAGTTCTTTTACCTGAAGAGCCTGTGATGATGACAAATGGACTATGCTCTTCTTATAGAGGTCAGTCATATATTCTGGAAGTGTATGTCCTTTTTTTTACAGTTGTATTCCTTGCTTTAACATTGACTGGCTCTACCTCCTGGCACACACCCAACAATGCCCCTTCCTTAAGTGTCTGCTCACATTTAGAGACATTGGCCACTGTTATAGTACTATAGTACTACTTGATGACCTGCCACAAGTGACCTCTCAATCTTCACCACCGCTGGCCTGGATGAGTCTTCCACTGCTTCCACAAGCATCGGGCTTCCTTGGGGAAGTTCTTTTCTTCTACCCCAAATTATCTTCTCTGACATAGGGGGTATTGTAGTTGACTTAAGTGCTGTGACATGCAAATCCATAGATGCAGCAACACTTACCGGGATTTGGCTTTTGTTGTTTCCATTCGTCATTTTATCGAAGTTAACTTCATATTTCCTCGGTAGTAAGTAGTCCAACCCTAATATGCATTGGTCTTCAATCTCAGCCAAGTATACTTTGTGTCTGTCCTTTAAGCCCATGAGCTAAATAATTACCCACACTGGTCCCCACAACCTTGCATAATGTCCTGTAACACCACAGAGCTTCTGTATGGCTTCTGGTACTCCTTTGTGATCTAGCACCTTGATACTCTCAAGAGTTTGCAGAGTTGCAGAATCTATGACAAAGTTGCACTTTTGACCATCCAGCTTTCCTGTCACGTAGACACTATGTGTGCTTGCCATTTTACACTGGGGGTTGGTGGGCGTCCCTCAGCACCAACCACTACTGGTTCCTGAAGCTGACTTATGGGTAGTATTCTTCTTACACTGGCTCCTCATATGTCATTGTTCTCCACAGTTCCAACAACCTTTCTGGGTAGCAACCTATCCTGCCATGGCATTTTCTCTGTGTTGAAGTTGCCGGCATTGAGCTCTCTTGTGCCCTGGTTTGTTACAGTGCCAGCAAAGTCCATCAAACTTCTCTAAAAGCTGCCCTTTTCTGCTCTTGAATCCTGATGACTGTACCAGCCTTGGTACCTCTGTGCTGGACTTAACGTAGGATTCAAATTCAAGAGCTCTGGCGATTGCATCCTGCATAGTAGAGGGGTGTGCTTGCTTTACTTATATCTTCAGTTGTGGACTGTCTAAGGCATCTACAAACTGATCCCTCAGCAACAGCTTGAGGACATTGGGTGGTGTAGTTGGGTAGGCCTTGTGTGCCATACTTTCCAAATCCTGTGCCAGCTCTTGCAGGCTCTCCCCTTTCACATTGACTCTCGTCCTAAACATAGCCATGTAGATTTTGGACTGATTTTGATTTCCATA